AAATTTATTTTGACATCATGAAAATATTTATAAAATTTTCAAACTTTTTCAGTAAAATTGAAAATGATGAATAAAAAGTGAAAAATTTTTTAGTTTTTATATAAGCAGAAGGATGTAAATTTTGTAATCTACATAATGCAGTATGCATTTAATTTCCTTTGGGTCTAATTAAAGTACAAAACGAGAAACATTCGGCCTAATGCGGTGTTATGGTGGCTTCCCACACTAGCTCAGGAGGGAGCGTTTTTTATTCAGGGGCGATTTTTAACCCTGCCGCCATGAACCCTAGGGAATGAACACACAAAAGGAAATTTGGATCAACACAAGACAAAAGAAATTAACACAACATTTTTAAAATTTACACTCTAACATAAAAACAATTTATTGAACATGTCATTTTCCTTAATAATAGAAAAAAAAGTAGAATATGGATGTAGGGTTTAAAATACAAAGGATTAGCCAAAAGTCATTAAAATGGTCAAAAACTCATTAAAGTACTAAATTACAGTAAACAAATCGTCTGTCCGTCCGTGAATGTGTGAACACGTGTTTACAAATAGTGTGTGTGTTTGTGATCCTCCGTTCTGAGTATGGCAATTTATGTATGTGTGTGTGATCCTCCGTTCTGAGTATGGTAAAGTATGTGTGTGTCTCCGTTCGCAAACTGTGTTGATCGACGTGTGTGGGCGCGCTCTTGATCTTGAGTATGGCAATTTGAGTGCGTGTGTGTGTGTCCGTTCGGTTTAAGAATATTAGGTATGGCAAACTATGTGGGCATGCGCGGAGCTTACCGAAATGTTTACAAGGGAAGGGGGAACAGATATGTGGAACAAACTATAGGGAATAACAACAACAACATGGTCAGCGATAGAAATGGTCAGAGGCATGAAGAGACAGACGCAGTTATGTTTATTTCTGATCATATCAATACCAATGTGTTTATGTAAAATCGAGCATTGTTGAGTGTTAGGCATGCGTGGAAAGGGTGGCAAATATGTGGCAAGGGGAGAGGGGGGACAAATATGGAAACAAACTATAAACAGCATAATGAATTTCGCAATGTTATGCAACTATGATTAGGAGTGAAAAGGCAGGAAAAAATATGTTTTTACGAAATGTTTGGATCCAAGAGGAAACTGGGGGAGAAGGAATATGTACGCCCTAGCTTTGAGTTTGATGTTTATTTCTGATTATATTAATACCAGTGTGTTTATGTTAAATCGAGCATTGTTGAGTGTTGGGCATGCGTGGAAAGGGTGGTAAATATGTGGCAAGGGGAATGGGGGACAAATATGGGAAACAAACTATAGGGACTATTGAGAATATCAACAAACAACAACAACATACATGCATCAATTGTATCGGTACAAATGGTCAGAGGTATTAGGAGACAGGCGCATGGTTTTGTATGATTTTAAAGACTGATGGGCGCCAAAAATTAAGAGGCGAACACTTGTTGATAAGAACCATTGGACAGAAATATGATAAACCGCATAATGAATTTCGCAATCTTATGCAACTATGATTAGGGGTAAAAAGGGGAAAGACAGGAACAAATATGTGTTTACGAAATGTTTGGCTACAAGAGGAAAAGGGGGAGAGGAATATAGAGGACAGTTTCAATGATTTGTATGCAACGAATATATTGATTGAGTGCGAACAGTGTTCCACAACTACATGAAAATATTATTTTTCTTTCTTCAATTTCAATTATTACAAGAAGATTTGAGATATAATCCACTGTCAATGTAAATTGTTCTGAAATGTTTAAAAGCGGAGTTAGACTTGAAGAAGTTATTCAGTTTTAACTAAACCTGACTTGGAATAAAATGGAATCAACAACAAAGAAAGCATATCGTATGCTGGAGGAAGATGCAGCCGCAGATATATTTTTAGTGAGAGTAACAAAGATATCAGAAAAGAAATATTTAAAGGATGGTATCCGCCACATTATTATCAATGACGAAGATATGGTCAATGATAGCAAAGGTGAAAGAAATATGAAAGGTGACAATTACATGTTGAATCTCATTTATTTGCCTGTAAACGTCAAAGAAATAAGTTGTATTGAAGTACAGATATTAAATCAAGAAGGTCGCCTAATAAATTTTCGAGGAGAGGAAATCACACTTCGAATTCATATTAAATCAAGGAAATAATGCTTATTTATAATAAATACAAATATAAACAAATTCCAAAAAAATTTTCACAACAGTTTGTTAGACCGACAGGACCTCAACTAACTAAAAAAAGTAAAGAATTTTTAAAACTACTCAAATTAAAGGTAAAGCCAAATGTCGGAAATTCTAAATATTAATGAACGTCCATTCTCAGATGAGAATATTGTAAAGAGAGACTATCATAGCTATGTGCCCTATATTCAATCATTTAAAAATAATGATAAAGGATGGAAGGACATTGCCAATAACATTTCGTAGTTGGGATTGCTATTTTAACCCCACATTTGTTCGCGGAAGACAACATAGCTGGAATGTCAAATTGTCTGCAAATCATGAAAGGACACGATATGTAGCTTTTGTATTTGAAAAATATAACAAATGGTTGCATTGTGATCCTCAAAACATTAAAGTACATTTGAATTCTGAAACGTATCCCTACGATGATCTAAACCTTAAGTTTGGAGAAAATCGTTATGCGGTACTCTACGATATGTATGCCAAGTTTCAAGAAACATATTATATGAGAGAACCACAACCACTTCTTTCCTACATAAGTTTTAAGGGTAATCCAATCGCCGTCATTGATATAAGCAATCAAAATGAAGCCGTGAAGAATGGACCGATTGATTTGAAAATACAATTTGAAACCAACACACCAATACCTCAAAACACTTCAGCATATTGTCTAATAATCCACGATCGCCTGGTGGAATACATACCTTTGACTGGAATTGTTAGAAAAGTAGTATAAGATATTTATACTTACACATTATATTAAACATTGAATTTATTTAAATGAAATAAAACACATTTTTTTACAATGAAATAATTTACATTGGTTTATTTTTTATTTACATTATATATTGTTTATTTACAATGGAAACTTAATTCAAATAAACATTCAATTCATCATTGTCTATAGATGGTAAATGTACATCCATTGGAATGAAAAAGTTAAAGTTTATATTATTCAAATAGTCTTCATCAATATTTAAATACCTATCTAGCTCATCATCATTAATACTACTAGATAAATCTAATTCCATATCCCATGGTATAAAAAAATCAAAGTTTATACTATTCAAATATTCATTTTCAATATTCTTATGCCCCCACGCATAAGTATTTATTTTATCAGCTTTGATTTTTCTTTTAGTGTCTTTACAACTTAAAACTATCTTAAACATTTTATTTGTATATACTTGATGCACCTTAGATCTAAAATTAATCATAACATCCCTACTTATTTTTTCATTTAGTAAGCATTCTTTATAGTCATCTATAGAGTATTTTGAAATAACACACTTTTTAACGCCCTTAGCTTTCTTCACTTCTTCGCCATCTTTAACCTGGAAGGAATGCATTTTGGGTCCTAATCCAATAAACATTGTCATAATTTTCCCACAGTTCTCATCCTTCATCATTCCAATTATTTTCTTATTTTTTCTCGGAATAATCGGACGTATCAAATTGTAAATCAATATCAGATTTTTGAATTTATTTAAATGAAATAAAACACATTTTTTTACAATAAAATAATTTACATTGGTTTATTTTTTATTTACATTATATATTGTTTATTTACAATGGAAACTTAATTCAAATAAACATTCAATTCATCATTGTCTATAGATGGTAAATGTACATCCATTGGAATGAAAAAGATAAAGTTTATATTATTCAAATAGTCTTCATCAATATTTAAATACCTATCTAGCTCATCATCATTAATACTACTAGATAAATCTAATTCCATATCCAATGGTATAGAAAAATCAAAGTTTATACTATTCAAATATTCATTTTCAATATTCTTATGCCCCCACGCATAAGTATTTATTTTATCAGCTTTGATTTTTCTTTTAGTGTCTTAACAACTTAAAACTATCTTAAACATTTTATTTGTATATACTTGATGCACCTTAGATCTAAAATTAATCATAACATCCCTACTTATTTTTTCATTTAGTAAGCATTCTTTATAGTCATTTATAGAGTATTTTGAAATAACACACTTTTTAACGCCCTTTGCTTTCTTCACTTCTTCGCCATCTTCAACCTGGAAGGAATGCATTTTGGGTCCTAATCCAATAAACATAGTCATAATTTTCCCACAGTTCTCATCCTTCATCATTCCAATTATTTTCTTATTTTTTCTCGGAATTTTATATATGTTGTCTTCTGGATAATCGGACATATCAAATTGTAAATCAATATCAGATTTTTGAATTTATTTAAATGAAATAAAACACATTTTTTACAATAAAATAATTTACATTGGTTTATTTTTGATTTTTGAATTTATTTAAATGAAATAAAACACATTTTTTTACAATAAAATAATTTACATTGGTTTATTTTTATTTACATTATATTTTGTTTATTTACAATGGAAACTTAATTCAAATAAACATTCAATTCATCATTGTCTATAGATGGTAAATGTACATCCATTGGAATGAAAAAATAAAGTTTATATTATTCAAATAGTCTTCATCAATATTTAAATACCTATCTAGCTCATCATCATTAATACTACTACTAGATAAATCTAATTCCATATCCAATGGTATAGAAAAATCAAAGTTTATACTATTCAAATATTCATTTTCAATATTCTTATGCCCCCACGCATAAGTATTTATTTTATCAGCTTTGATTTTTCTTTTAGTGTCTTTACAACTTAAAACTATCTTAAACATTTTATTTGTATATAATTGATGCATCTTAGATCTAAAATTAATCATAACATTCCTACTTATTTTTTCATTTAGTAAGAATTCTTTATAGTCATTTATAGAGTATTTTGAAATAACACACTTTAACGCCCTTTGCTTTATTCACTTCTTCACCATCTTCAACCTGGAAGGAATGCATTTTTGGTCCTAATCCAATAAACATTGTCATAATTTTCACACAGTTCTCATCCTTCATCATTCCAATTATTTTCTTATTTTTTCTCGGAATTTTATATATGTTGTCTTCTGGATAATCGGACGTATCAAATTGTAAATCAATATCAGATTTTATATCTTCGTACACATCGTCCGTTTCTATATCTAAAATAAATGAAACAAAATGAACTTTTGCCAATTTTAGCCCATTTTCCAAACACTGTTTTAAAACCATGTAATGTATTGCATAGTTTTTCTTTGGGCTAAAATCAGCAATAAGCTTCTCATATTTTGAATCCCCAACCTTTTTATTTTCTGCACAAAAGGGTAAATAATTGTGTAGATCATGCAATTCTTCCGGATACTCAAGGTCTACTACGTATATGTATCTAATGGTAGAATTATGCATGAATTTAAAAATTTCTTCAACATCTGTTATTGCCTCTTCAGGTTGCAACCATTTAAAATCTCCTTCTGGAAGATACTGTTTCATTGCCCAACCATACAAATTATTGGCATCTAAATATAATAAATAGTGTGATGGTGAATTTTTATCATAGTCCTTCATATACTTGTTATTTGCTTTAGCTAATCTTTTGATACATTGAACTAATCCTCCCCTGATACCTATTTTAATAACATTGAACATATTCAAATCCTTAGAAGATCAAGTGTTATTTTTGTAAAACGCAGCATCGCATCAAAAGACAATCCTGGTGCAGTATAGTACTAACATGGATCAAGTTTATGAACCCTTATACAAGATTTTCTAAAAATTTCAAATACATCTGTTAATAGGAGCACATCTGTCTTCAAATATAGCTTTATATAGTCTTTTAATGACTGACAATTAAATGTCTCCCACACACGTTTTGCATGCTCATAATCATCTATACTACAACTGGTATTATATAAATTACTATAAAATTTTTCAATGGGTGGAAGAATTGTATCATTTAGTTTATCAAAACTGTCTAAATATTCATAGCAAAATATTCCTTTCCGCCTCATTAATTGAATTGATTATCAATGGGGAAATGTGCTCTAACTGATTTCAAATCCGCATCTTCCAAATTGTTGGCTAAGGTTTCTAAACTTGCCGCCATGAATCTGAAAGGATCTAAAAACCTGTATTCAAGTTCCATACCATTACCCATATCAACAACATGTGATACTGAAATATATAATTCTTTATTTTGTGGAATTATGTTAATTTTCTTACTAGGGATTTATTTAATTATTTCTTTTATAAAAAGATGGCAATCGTATCCAGAAAAATTGTGGAATAAAATTGGAATGAATGTTGGAACTGTATAATTTATATTGCACTCTTTGTGTGCAGCTCCCCTATACCGACCTGTTATATGACAATGATCATAAACCTTATCACTACCCAATTCTTTGTCGCAAAAATGACAAATTTTTGCATTTTCAAATTCAAAAATTTGAGATGGCGTTAATAGCGTCATTGGTTTTTTAACACTCAAATACGTATTAAAAATTTCCCTACACTTAGAATTTAACATTTCAACAAATTTTTCTGCTGCATCCCTACCTGTATATATAAATAATTCATCTAAGTTACTATCAAAATTAAATTTTACATTAAAACTAAAGGCACAAGATAAATGCTTATTCATTACCATATCTAAATTATCTTTCTTTATTAAAACACACTCAATATCAGCATATATAACAAATGGAACATTCATTTGTTTATGAAAGTTCTTAAATCACAACCATGGTATAATAATAGTAGGTAACAGCAAGTGTTGTTGTACAAAAAACGATACAACAACCACATGGAAATTTGTTGTTGTAAGTTCTACTAGTGTCAACTCATTTGACAGAAAAATGTAAACAAACAAATTATCATCAAATTATTTTTATTTTGAAAATGAAATATTTTCGAATCCTCAAAATAAAAATTGAAAAACATGAATGAAAATCTTCCAAATTTATATTTCTATCGCGTCCACATCTTTCCTTTAATTGTGCCATTGCCACATATATGTATAACACATATGAAAATGCTGGGAATAGCGAGTTATTCCTTGAAGAACGATTTGCTTCCTAAAACTTTCCCAGCAGGCAGATTGAGTAAATTGAATACGGGAGCACATTTAATAAAGAACAATTTCAAATTGTATGCGTTCCCAATTTTCCTGTTGGGTGATTTTTAAAAACATAATTTGTCAAATTCATATTGACACTAGTATTACGTTGGAATCAAATCAGCTGGGATTTGCTGTTACCTTTTATAATTGTACCATGAATGACAACGTTGATTTACCTTCTTCGGGCATTTTTGCAATAACTTTACTACACAAATCCCGATGCCGCTCCATAAAATCATATTTGCTGGTGTAATATAAACACTGATTGTAAATGTGTAAACGCCTTCTGCAATTCGTTAACTGATTATTTACCAACCTAAAATAAAAAAAGTAATTAGTATATTTAAATTTTTTTTATTTAAATGTAAAACTCACCTAGATAAAGATTTGATTAGAATGTAGTGAGATTTTCCATCGTTTTCTAATAGCAGCAAGTTAACATGTATGTCCTTTTCTTGTTTCGTAATACAATAAGGTCCAACGACTGATTTTGAAGAATACTCATAACCAAAAACGTTTACACTAATGTTAGGATTTTTTTCTTCAAACAATTTTATATACTTTAGTTCCTTCGGAAATTCTATTCCTTCAAAGTTTAGTGTTAAACCATTTTGCAACGTAAGAACATTTGACGGATTTAATGGTTGTGAAGTTTCCAATGCCGCTATCAAACAATATTTGAAACAGTAAATGTCTCCATTATAAATATTGATACAGGCTCTTTTATTTTTTAGTTCTTTAGGTGTGGGTATATATTGGGAACCTCTTATGGGTGAATGCTTGTTAATGTTGATTTTCAAACTGAAAACCTTTAACAGAGCCTAACCGGAATCCCGTTCTTGGAACTCGGACATCTTCGTTTTTATGTAATCAAAATGATCATTTAATATATTGTCAATGTTATCAGCTCTTTCAAGTTCCATCATTTTTGAGTTGTGGTATATTTTTTTTAATTATTATGTTCTCGTTACAAGGTTTAACATATTCTCCACCCAACTCTAAATTAAATTTGATTCTGTAATGACGATTTAGTGCTTCTTGAAGTTGATTAATAAGGGATGCTTTTGCCCCCTGAAATATTAAATCAACTTCTATTGTATCTTCTGTTATTTTATATTGAAAGGTTTGGATTCTATTATTGAATCCACTCCTTACTAGCATCATATCGCTATTTACACCAGAAGTCGTTCCTTGTTTCATGCCTTCAATTTTATTTTGTTGTTGGTTTGATTGTTGTATCTGTTTGTGTCTCTGCCATGTTCCTGAAGGTTGTTGATTCACAGTTTCATTTTGCCTTGCCTTTAGCTGGCTTGTTACAGAACGGTTGTTCCATAAGCCGAGCTTAAAAAAAGATTTCCAAGCGCTTCGGTCTTGTGCGCAAGCCCACCAATTTGGAAGACCACGTTCCAAGATGTTGTTTTCTACTTGGTCTTTCCATCTAATTCACTCTGAGTCTCTTTTTGGTTTTGCAGAAAGTCATGGTACAATTATAAAAGGTAACAGCAAATCCCAGCTGATTTGATTCCAACGTAATACTAGTGTCAATATGAATTTGGCAAATTATGTTTTTAAAAATCACCCAACAGGAAAATTGGGAACGCATACAATTTGAAATTGTTCTTTATTAATGTGCTCCCGGATTCAATTTACTCAATCTGCCTGCTGGGAAAGTTTGAGGAAGCAAATCTTTCTTGAAGGAATAACTCGCTATTCCCAGCATTGTCATATGTGTTACACATATATATGGCAATGGCTCAATTAAAGGAAAGATGTGGAAGCGATAGAAATATAAGTTTGATAGATTTTCATTCATGTTTTTCAATTTTTATTTTGAGGATTCGAAAATATTCCATTTAAAAATAAAAATTATTTGATGATAATTTGTTTGTTTGTTTACATTTTTCTGTCAAATGAGTTGACACTAGTAGAACTTACAACAACAAATTTCCATGTGGTTGTTGTATCGTTTTTTGTACAACAACACTTGCTGTTACCTTTTATTATTATACCATGGCAGAAAGTATTGAAAATCACTTCTACACTGTAAAAAATCACTTTTTACTCAACTGGTTGTGATATGAATAGTTTACGATATGAACTCTCAACTGAAAGTGGAATATAGATTCCTTTTATATTATAATTATACCTCGTATTGACAATATCATGTATTATTACGTTCGTTTATTAAAAGTATCCCAGAATGCAAGAAGATATCCCCCCTCCGCCTTTTCCTCTTGTAGCCAAACATTTCGTAAACACATATTTGTTCCTGTCTTTCCCCTTTTTACTCCTAATCATAGTTGCATAAGATTGCGAAATTCATTATGCTGTTTATCATATTTCTGTCCAATGTTTGTTGATATTCTCAATAGTCCCTATAGTTTGTTTCCCATATTTGTCCCCCTTCCCCTTGTAAACATTTCGGTAAGCTCCGCGCATGCCCAACACTCAACAATGCTCGATTTAACATAAACACATTGGTATTAATATAATCAGAAATAAACATCAAACTCAAAGCTAGGGCGTACATATTCCTTCTCCCCCAGTTTCCTCTTGGATCCAAACATTTCGTAAAAACATATTTTTTCCTGCCTTTTCACTCCTAATCATAGTTGCATAACATTGCGAAATTCATTATGCTGTTTATAGTTTGTTTCCATATTTGTCCCCCCTCTCCCCTTGCCACATATTTGCCACCCTTTCCACGCATGCCTAACACTCAACAATGCTCGATTTTACATAAACACATTGGTATTGATATGATCAGAAATAAACATAACTGCGTCTGTCTCTTCATGCCTCTGACCATTTCTATCGCTGACCATGTTGTTGTTGTTATTCCCTATAGTTTGTTCCACATATCTGT